AGCATCTGGCACATTCAGCACCACTTGTGATGGATTTGTGTCCAGAGAAATGATCTACCAGGTAGGTAAATGCATTTAAGATTAAATGTAATGAGTGGAGTAATAATATCATGGAATACAGAGTTAATATTGCTATCAAAGTAATTCTAATATTTAAATATCATAATGCCAAAGATGAATATGTTGATGTCCTCCAGATCATAGCATTTACTTTATATTGTCTTGTGGAAGCTAACGTTGTACCTTTTTGACGAAGGTTGTTTGGACAACACTTGGGGCTGCCAGCATGTTGGAAACGAAGGTGTTGCTCTTTGAGACGCTGAGTAGCTCAGAAGCGCTGGTGCTTTCTATTGCTTCTGAAGGAAGTCCAATAACAAGCGTGCCAAGGGATGCCAGGGAGGCTTCGCTGTTGATCTGTTAACACATTTCAAGTTTTTGAACCCTCATTCTCTAAAGTGGTAAGCATCTTAGAGTTATTTTGTATTTTGTAAAACCTTACTGGATTAATATATAACATCGTTAGGCACATGCGTTTAAGATCTAATGTCAGGTATATTAGGTGGACCTGAAGGGCGTTACCTGGAAGCCTGAGGCAGTAAGGGTTTGGAGGATTATTGAGGCCTGATCTTGGCTCCAGGTACTGACTGAGCCCAGGGTGGACAAAGAAGAGGTGAGCACTGATGAGGGAACTGAACTGATCTGGCTGTTACTCAGACCTGCGCTGGAGCTTCCAAGAGCTGTAAATATCTCTGGTGTAATTGTCTTGATGTTGGATGCCAAAGCAGCAGAAACCTTTCAAATAAAATATCAAAACATATGTAAACAGGAGTAAATGCAAAGAGAATTATGTCTAATAACATAGTTATTAAGTACCAGAGTTCTATTATTAATAAGGGACCAATTTTAACAGAGTTAAAATTAAGATGGCCTTTGCGAGAGAGCATACTGTTCAGAGTTCAGGTTTTTTTTGTTAACATTTAGCTCAAAACCAGCATTTACAACAATGAGATTTATGGTTAGTTTTTGCTAGAAACAATTCAACTCTGTTTGTTTTTAGGGCTGGTACCTCAGGGTCCTGGGTGCCATTGCAGAAAGTCTTCAGATTGTCTAAGATAACCATGGTTTCAGCTTCAGTCATAGTAGTATATGCCAAAGGTGGCACCGCAGAAGAGCACAGGAAGAAGCCTGGGAGACTGAATGAAAACAGATTTTTAACTACAAATACAGAATGACTACCACTGAACTGCTAAATTATATGCGGTGTATGGTTCACGTAACACAGTTTGCCGTTTTTGTCAGGCTGGTAATACTTACTTGACCGGCTTGAAGTTCGGATCGAATGCAAAAAGCTGTGTGACATAGTAGTTGGTTACATTTGCTGGGATTGCGTTATTGTTGAAGAGTTCCAGGTTGGCTTGGTTCTTCAAGAACACTTGAAACTTTAAAAATTAAGAAACAAAACAGGTCAATAATACTGATTTCTGTTAACCATGTTAACATTCCCACCAAAATCACGGACTTTGTATTTTGCTTTATTAATTGTGCATATGTGATCTCTGGAAATACCTGAGCGGTGGAGACAAAGGTGGTGAGGTCATCCAGAGTGATAAATGTCACAAAGTTCCCGATGTTACTGACAAACCAGGCAGTAGAGTTCAGTTCTGCATCACTGGCATTGTAGCATCTGGCTCCAGAACCTGTGGAACCAAGGAAAGCAGAACACACAGACAATAAATAACTTGTTAAGCGATCTCCCCTTATACGAATCGACATCAGTTTTGGCATTACGTGGCTCAAAATTTAAGACCACCTACTCTTTTCACTCAGCAAGCATACTGACTTCAGATGAGCCAGAAAAGACAAACAGATGCGTGTTATGTGCACTTTATGTTTGGTAAGGTCCACGCATGTTACAGCACCTGCTTCGTCCCAGTAAGATAGCACATACATGTTTCTTCTCTGTCTGGCAGTTGCTATTATACTTTGGGGCTGTGTGGAACATGTATGCCTACACATATCCGCTAATGCAATAAGTATGCAAGGAAGGAAGGTGTTTAATATGGTATATAGATCAAAATGTTGAAGCAGATTCAAACCAGGAGGAAACATGACTGCAGTAATCATTCCACATAAACTGTAAACCCCCTCTTAGAAGTAGATTCTGATCTTTTTCCACAAATGTAAATTGTTGCAGCTAGGTGCATTTTACAAACTCTTTGTGACTAGTCTGGCAGTATATTTTTAAAAGAATTTTTACCCATTTCATATAATTTGAAAAAAAAAAAAGACAAGCAGACAGAGTTTTTAAATTCCTTGAATTCCACACACAGATGTATACATACACAGTGCTTTTACAACACTTTTGATCATTAATAAAACTTACCATCACTCAAGTAGGTCTTGATGGTGGTATAAACGTCCTGATGTCCAAACTCAGAGCTGTTGTATGTGAAGTTGTTTCCCATCACATAGACCCTGTTGAAAGGAAAATGATGAAAAACGTGGTCATCATGTAATTAATTCACTTATCTTGAGACACAATGAAAAAGAGACTTACAGTTTCTGGAAGGCAAAACATGAGGCGTTCTGCACTTCGTCGGGGCTGATGAGGCTCTTGCTGAGGAATCTAAGATAGTTCCTCAGTCGTAGGTCAAACCATAAATTAGCCTCAGCTCTGCTCCTGCTATTCAGCGCAGAAGGCCAAATACAGGGGAGGATCACCTTCTTTACATTGTCTTGAACATCCTCCTAGGGTAAAACACATACATTTTCACGTGTAATGACAAACTGAAGTAAAACTGTCCATTTAAGTGACAAGCAGTATTCTTGCTTGAATACTGCTAAGGTCAGTATACATTTTCTGTGAAGCCAATAATGTTGTATGTAAAACGGAGACAGTATTTAAGGGACATACAGTCTCAAGGAAGGCAGAAGTGTTGTTGTAGTTGTTGAAGATGACACAGATGTCAGTACTGTTACCAATCACATTGGGCTGACTAAGGAACTGGCCGAGCTCTGAGGTGCTGATGGTATCCAGAAGCTGGAGAAAGATTAAAAAACAAAACAGAAAACATCATTTGATATATTATATTAGTGCACAGGTGTGTGCTATTTTATTTCCTTATTTATCTATTTTTTACCTCTGATTTGCGCATTTGTGGCAGGAGTGACACAAACGTGGACAAATCTGGAAAATCAAAGCTGAGGAAAGTGTTCCTCAGATAGACATAGAAGCTTCCACCACCGTAACACTTGAGTGGTGGTGGACCTGTTTTTAACACAAAGGAAATCACTTTTTAAACTAACACTGATTTGGTTACACATGTCACATCTGAAGAAGAAACAAGCGAAAACAAAACAGTAACTTTTGTCACAGATGTTTTTCATTATTAGTTTTTGAGTTAACAAACCTTGAAGGAAGACAATGATGTTTTTGTAGATCTCGCTTTGGGTGCTGCTGCTGAGTGTTGTGGTCAATGTGTCCAGCAATGCAAACCTAAATTCAGACAAATTGAAAAAAACAATTATAGAAATATCGATCAAACGCCACTTCATTTGATCCAGAATCCTCCACATAACATTTACCCCAAGGTGTTATTGATCACAGCAAATATACAGCAATTTTTAAAACTGAGTGTACAAATTCTTACATCTCTTGGCTGCTGTTACAACTCCTTTTTATCCCGATGCTGAATAAGGGTGTCACCAGGCTGGAAGAGAGGTTGGTCAGGAGAGGGCTCAGTCGTTCTCTGAGCCATAGCAGGAAGTCTCCATCACTGACAGTTGGAGATGACAGATTCCCTCTGTTGAAAACTGCTTCAAGGAATGCAGACTTCACTTCCTGTGAGTAGTTAGCTGAGTGGACCTGGGGTGAAATTACATAGCATGAGTAAAATGCTTACAAGAAAGTAAAAAGTATCTGAATTTGAACCATAATCCAGCTGTTAGTTTTGAAAAACAGCTGAATTTTAATAACGTGTTTTTCTCCATTGTGTTATTCAGAATTACTTTTTTAACTTTCAACGTCTGGCTTAGAACTGTTTACAAGTCAAAAGCTTAAACTGCAGCTTACAACCAAAAGATGGTGTGGAAACGCTGCACAGAAGAAATGGCACCAGTTTTGGTTTTTTTTTTTAACTAAAACAACCTGTTTTGATATCTGAACAGCACTGTCTGACAGAAATGATCATAACCTTTTAACATAGAGTTGTGATATATACATTTCAAAGATTATATGTCAGAACCACAGAAACAAACAACCTTCTCCTTAACTTCCTTGATGGTCTTGCCAAGCCTGTCTTTCTGAGAGTGGTTTCACAACAGTTAATCACATATTCACAATAAATTCCTAAACCAAAGCAAGTATGTGTGTTGCCTAAACTACAAATATAAACTAAAGATACAAAGGCACACTGATGCCTACACTAACCATAAAGCAGCAGACGAAAATAACTACTTACTCTAACAATTGTGAACAAATGTAAAGTCTAGCTGCCCAAACCTAAGCCCCGCCCCCAAACAAACAAACCAACCAAAAACACTTCCGTGAGGCTGCAATGAATGGATGAATGGATGAATGAATGAATGGATGACAAAACAAATAAATAAATAAATAAAACGTTGCCTTAACCTATCTAAACCCAGATTGAAAGTCAAAACTAGCTATCTAAACGAACTGCCAAGAAAGGTAAGAATTACAGATGGCTGAGAGGTCAAATGTACTGCAACTTAAGAGAGCAAGAACAAATAGACACAAGCCACAAAAGCACAAAAAACACAATAAAAGAAAATTAAAACACAAAAGACGTTAAAGGACAAGAGAAATTTCTCAAAAACAACAATAGTGTTTTGGGGGAGACTTTAAGGTGACGGAACAGCTGCGGAAGTGAAAGAAAACAAAACAAAAAACTGTGACGAACTAAAAAGAAGAGGAGGATTCTTCACTATTGCGAGGGAGAAAAACATGTAAGGAAATCTGTGTTTTGATCGCATGAGTCATATACTACTGCAGATTAGTAATGCGCGAATCAAGAACGAATCGTTCTATACTCGAGAATTACTTTACTGACTCGTGAATCATGATTCACAAGCCCAACTGACTCACTGACTCATCCCTGTTGCTGTTAGCAAACTAATTTCATTAGTAGAAATATATCTAGCTTATAATTAAAATTGTGTGGAAAAAACAACAGCCAGTTTCTTAACAAAAACATTTCTGCTCTGAACTGGAAGAAAAAACCCTGGGTAGAAAGCTCACATCAAGACAATAGCTCCTCGGTTCACAGTAGCATCGCTCTGCTAACATGCTAGCAGCACATTTGAGTTACTCACCCCCTCCCTTCCTGCGCTGAATCGTAGCATGAACGAATCACTCAGGACTCACTCACCCTCTCCCTCCTGTGCTGAATCGTAGCATGAACGAATCACTCACTCACTCACTCACTCACTCACCCCCTCCCTCCTGGCTCACAGCTTCTTCTTCTTGGTTGGTAACCAATGTTAAGGAGCATTACCGCCCCCTGGCACACAGCTCAGTGGACATTTAGATGAGAAAATATATATTTGACACATTTGAGGAAAATACTAATAAAATAAAATAAAAATAAATAAAATAAATGTTCCCTTTAGAAATCTTTTTTTTTTGCTCTATAAATATAGTTGTTTTTCTTTTTCAATCACTCATCTTAGCAGTAGGATTTACATGAAAAGAAAAACAAATTAAGTTTGAGTGAAAATGTACCTGTTTTGCACTCTGGTCAACTGACTCAGTGACTCAGTGACTCAAAAATTCGATTCACTTTGGTGAGTGACTCATTCAAACTCGATTCAGTAAAAAGAATCGAATTTACCATTACTACTCCAGATACATATTTGGTATTAGCTGTTTCTGCTTAGATTGGTCGTGTCCAAATTCATGGGCTGCATCCTCCTGAGGACGCATTTGTAGACCGATTACGTCACAGCGACGC